AGCGCGGGGATTGAACCAGGGTGCTGGTGAACGCCAGACGCTCGTCGCACCCCTGAGCCACCACATGCTACAAAAGCAATTCAACCTGGGACACCGAGATGCGTGTTTGACATTGACATCCTCATATCGGACATAGACAAGAACACAACCTATAGTTCTGTATCATCCTTTGCAGATGACACTAGGATCTACATGAGAGTAGGCAACATAGAGGACACGGCGAACCTCCAGTCAGATGTAGATCAGGTCTTTCTATGGGCTACAGAAAATAATATGGTGTTTAACAAAGATAAGTTCCAGCTCATGCGCTATGGAAAAAATGAAAATATAAAAACGGAAACCACGTACAAAACTCAGGCAAATCATAACATAGAACGAAAAGGCAATGTAAAGGATCTGGGTGTACTCATGTCGGAAGACCTTACCTATAAAGAACACAATAAAGTAGCCGTCACAACTGCAAGAAAAATGACAGGTTGGATAACAAGAACTTTTCATACTAGAGATGCTATACCGATGATGATACTTTTCAAAACGCTTGTGCTCTCTACAGTGGAGTACTGCTGCACAATGACAGCACCTTTCAAAGCTGGAGAAATTGCTGACCTGGAGAGTGTGCAGAGATCCTTTACTGCTAGAATCCACTCAGTAAAACATCTAAACTATTGGGACCGACTAAAGAGCCTAAAACTGTACTCCCTTGAACGCAGGCGGGAGAGGTACATAATAATTTACACGTGGAAAATATTAGAGGGGCTGGTCCCAAACCTGCACACAGAAATAACATCACACGAGACCAGAAGACATGGCAGGATGTGCAGAATACCCCCGTTGAAAAACAGAGGTGCAACTGGTACTCAAAGAGAACTCTATCAACATCAGAGGCCCGAGACTGTTCAACACGCTTCCACTACACATAAGGGGCATAACTGGCCGACCCCTCACAGTGTTCAAGAGAGAACTGGATAAGCACCTTCAAAGGATACCTGATCAACCAGGCTGTGACTCATACGTCAGGCTGCGAGCAGCCGCGTCCAACAGCCTGGTTGATCAGTCCGGCAACCAGGAGGCCTGGTCGACGACCGGGCCGCGGGGACGCTAAGCCCCAGAAGCACCTCAAGGTTGACCGGGACGCTGGTTCAATCCCCGCGCTGCGCCAGCAATTTTCTCATTGATATATCACCCTCTGTGATTTGCTTGTGTAAAACCTGGTTATGTTTTCTTTCCTTGTTTACACATTAAAATAAAGTTCAAATATCTGGTAGAGTTTACCCGTGGGATGAACACGAGTATACCTGGGCGGCCCTGATGTGAGTCACCCCAGCCATGGCTCGTCAAGCATTTACGTCTCCACTTGCGAAACTTGTACATCTTTCCTCAATCATTGCGGCTTAGTGTGTATTTAATATACACTATGAAAAACACTTCGCAACCCATGGTTATCATCGTTAATGACAGTATCGTAGTTATTAGTAGCACCTCAGTTTTATAATTGGAAATTAAGCCGAAATGATTGAAGAAAGATGTACAGGTTTCGTAAGAGACCACACAAATGTTTGATGAACTCTGCCCCGGGTCTTTGGGGCAACATGAATGGACGCTCTGACAGAGCAACCTCTGGATCTGCTTTTGCACTGAGACATATCTTTAATTACAAAAACATAATTGAAAATTTATTAAAACTTTGATGAACACTTAGAATACGATCGTATCAGTGAGTTAGAACTTGATTTAAACGTATTAAAGTATTACAAGCCCTTGTGAACACGGGTGAGCAACGCCACATGCAACAAGTTCAAGTTCAAGTATGTTTATTGAGATAAGCAAGAAATACATCTCAAAGGGATAGAGTAGCTTAGGCTATTTCTACCCCCCGACACACATGCAACAGTATAGAGAACATTATAAGCGTCAGAACATAATACTTTTACTTATGCACAAAGAATAGAAGCGTTAGGGTAAAATCCTACACCACAGCCAGAGTGTGTGCGGGTAATGAGCAAAACCCTGGTGTCAGGAGATGCCTCAGCAACCCTAAAGGATTCAGTTGCATCCCAGGTTACATCACTTTTGATGCATATCGTGGCCTAATGGTTTGAGGTGTGTGCTTGGGAGTACCCAGTGTGCAGGTTCGAATCCTTCTCATGGCCCCTACTGATTTTCTCAATTTTTCTTATGATATATGATAGGCATAAGAACATGATATTGCGAAGTGTAACAGACCGATTGATCCAGGCGGAGGGGCCTGGATGCCCCACCTGGATAATCGCGTCTACACCTCAGCAGTTGGCAGCTTAACTGTGTACATCTGGATGGTCAGAAGACAGAAAACTTGGGAGGCTGAGGTAACAGATAACGCCTTCATGTTGCGTTGAAATTACCAGGCAGGTGTACTTCACCTAAATGTACTCATCTAACTGTGCTTGCGGGGATTCAGCTTCAGATCTTTGGTCCCGCCTCCCAGCCGTCAATCAACTGGTGTACAGATGCCTGAGCCTACTTCGCTCTATCATATCTATATTTGAAACTGTGTATGGAGTCTGCCTCCGCCACATCACTGCCTAATGCATTCCACTTGTTAACTACTCTGACACTGAAAAAGTTCTTACTAATGTGTGTGTGTGGCTCATATGGTTACTCAGTTTACACATGTGTCGCCTTGTGCGTGTACCATCTGTGTTAAACTGTTCTTTGTGTGATAAACTGGTGTGTGTGTAATTACCTAAGTGTAGTTACAGGATGAGAGCTACGTTCGTGGTGTCCTGTCTTCCCAGTACTCTTTGTCATATAACGCTTTACAACTAGTGACGGTTTTGGCCTCCACCACCTTCTTACATAATTTGTTCCAACCGTCTACGACTGCTGAGTGAATGTGCGCGCGTCCGATTGTTTGTGCGTATTCACCTATTTGTGCCAGCAGAATTGAGCTGCTTGCTCTTAAATTCCGCCTTTCTAAAAGAAAGAAAGAAAGAGAGAGAGAGAGAGAGAGAGAGAGAGAGAGAGAGAGAGAGAGAGAGAGAGAGGGGGGGGGGGGGGGGGGGGGGGGACTCACCGGCAGATGAAGGAGCCTGGGAAGAGAGTGCTTGGCCGCGCCTCGCCTCAGCTTACACAGGGCCACAAACTCGTCGTCCGTGGAGCGCTTCTCCCGCAGCACCCTGCGGGGACCAACATTACCTCATTACACTCAACTTCTCTTTTATCTTAAATATAAATATATTTTTATATTTGTGACCACGGAACCGGGTGAACAGATACACTCTACACTAGGAAATCCAATAATAATAATATTTTATACACACACATTATATATTGAGACAAATCTTGGACAATTTCTTCAGCAGGTCAGATGTAACACACACAAGGAGCAACGGTTTCAAGCTCAACAAGCCACAATGTAGGACTGAGAACAGGAGCTGCTTTTTCACGCATTGAGTTATAAACCCATGGAACAGCCTACCCGCCGAAGCCGTAAATGCCAAAAACTCTGTTGAGTTTCAAAATACAACTGGAAAAGATCAGGATAAATAGGGGGACCATTGACAAGAAGCCGGCTTCCTGTCCTCATCGACGCATCTAGTATTAGTGGCCCTTAGGTAAAAAAAATAATTATTCAATACATACATAATGGATATTTTATATATATATATATATATATATATATATATATATATATATATATATATATATATATATATATATATATATATATATATATATATATATATATAATCAGGTGAGGCAATCAGGGCCTCACCATAACTCCAGGCCATCTACCTTGCAGTTACCTTGCCATGATTTCGGGGCTCAACGTCCCCGCGGCCCGGTTCTCGACCAGGCCTCCTCGTTGCTGGACTGATCAACCAGGCTGTTGGACGCGGCTGCTCGCAGCCTGACGTATGAGTCACAGCCTGGTGAATCGGGTAGCCTTTGGAGGTGTTTATCCAGTTCTCTCTTGAACACTGTTAAAGGTCGGCCAGTTATGCCCCTTATGTGTAGTGGAAGCGTGTTGAACAGTCTCGGGCCTCTGATGTTGATAGAGTTCTCTCTCAGAGTACCTGTTGCACCTCTACTTTTCAACGGAGATATTCTGCACATCCTGCCATGCCTTCTGGTCTCATGTTATGTCATTTCTGTGTGCAGGTTTGGGACCAGCACCTCTACTATTTTCCACGTGTAAATAATTATGCATCTCTCCCGCCTGCGCTCAAGAGAATACAGATTTAGGCATTTTAGTCAGTCCCAGTAGTTTAGATGTTTCACCGAGTAGTGTTTACATCAAGAATATACTCTGGAGTTGCCTCTGGAGATCATTGTGGATACTTCTGGCTCATGCTCAGGGCTTCCCCCAGAGTCAGAAGGTCAGGATCAGGGACGGCCTGACCCAGTTACTTTGAGATATATACAAGAGTTGTTACATTCTTGTACAGCTACTAGTACGCGTAGCGTTTCGGGCAGGTCCCGGGAATACGATCCCCGCCGCGAAGAATCGTTTTTTCATCCAAGTACACATTTTACTGTTGCGTTAAACAGAGGCTACAGTTAAGGATTTGCGCCCAGTAAATCCTCCCCGGCCAGGATACGAACCCATGACATAGCGCTCGCGGAACGCCAGGCGAGTGTCTTACCACTACACCACGAAGACTGCAGCCTCATACATTATCCCTACGAGGCGGGGCACAGAGGTTCACCCTCACTTCCCAGTTATATTACATTAAGGTAAACCACAATTATAAGACATTTAAATAAAAGCAATTGTATTATTTAACAAATAAATTAAAAATAATGTATTTATTTACTGAGATAAACCCATCTTGAACAGGAATATCAATCAACACAATTCGAATCCATAAAGTTCATCAAAGATCTTATTACTGGTTATGATTCTCAATGTTATTGAAGTAAAACTACATAGGTCTTCTATAAGGAAACGCTTTATTCCAGACGCCCAAGTAGGAGAGAACAGAAAATGAAAGCCATTTTCCGTTCACAGAAAACCTGACGAGTTTAAGGGTAACTGCTGTAACGGTAAACCATGAACACACGCTTCATTATGTTCATAGCTTGCACCTGCACATTTGGAAATATAGTAGTATAAAATATGTGCATATTAATGTATGCACATTCGTACATCGTGTGTGTGTGTGTGTGTGTGTGTGTGTGTGTGTGTGTGTGTGTGTGTGTGTGTGTGTGTGTGTGTGTGTGTGTGTGTGTGTGTGTGTGTGTGTGTGTGTGTGTGTGTGTGTGTGTGCTCACCTATTTGTGCTTGCGGGGGTTGAGCTTTGGCACTTTGGTCCCGCCTCTCAACTGTCAATCAACTGGTGTACAGATTCCTGAGCCTACTGGGCTCTATCATATCTACATTTGAAACTGTGTATGGAGTCAGCCTCCACCACATCACTGCCTAACGCATTCCATCCATTAACTACTCTGACACTGAAAAAGTTCCTTCAAACGTCTCTGTGGCTCATTTGGGCATTCAACTTCCGCCTGTGTTCCCTTGTTCGCGTCCCACCAGTGTTGAGTAGTTTATCCTTGTTTACCCGGTCGATTCCCCTGAGGATTTTGTAGGTTGTGATCATGTCTCCCTTTACTCTTCTGTCTTCCAGTGTCGTAAGGTGCATTTCCCGCAGCCTTTCCTCGTATCTCATGCCTCTTAGTTCTGGGACTAGTCTAGTGGCATACCTTTGGACTTTTTCCAGCTTCGTCTTGTGCTTGACAAGGTACGGGCTCCATGCTGAAAATTTGTTTCTACCTGGTCCGGGAATCGAACCCGGGCCACAGAATTACGAGTCCTGCGCGCTGTCCACTCAGCTTAGTGTGTTTTTTATTAATAAAGTATGAATACACCTGGAAAGGACAAACTTTGTAGCAGAAGGTAGTATGGATTTAGAGGCGGAAACTATCCCTGATAAACTTGATCGAGATTTATGTCATTGTTTACAAAATATGACAGGAAAAATAATGCTGTAACTTCCTACTTTATCAAACATTGATATTTTTTTTTGTTATAAAAAGCTGGTGTTCAAAATGGAGTAAAAAGCTGGAAATTTTAAAACACGCCAGACTTGAAAACAATGACCAGACCAAGGCTGGGACACACACCAAGCTAGCAGCACACAGCTATACATACAGGGCAGACATAAATTAACCTTGCATCCATTGCCGTGTTCCAGAGACAATTGAATTACCTCCTCCATTGTTTCAGGCATTATAGTGACAATTTCAAACAATTTTTCATCCTCAAAGTGCTTTTCATCATCAATGTTGAGCACATATTAGGGGCAAATCTCTCCGTATATATATAAAATATCAAGTGGTCAAAGCATTGGCTAAACATCTCGGTCAATCAAAAGAATGCGCCATATTTGACCTGTTCACATAACTTATACCAGACCGATGTAGACCTGACCAAATGTAAACTGAGAAAATTATTCGCACACCCTCGGTCACTATGTGATGGAGTGCGCAAAGATACGTGAATTCCGAGTCAATTCTATAACAAATGTTCAAGAGAACATTAGGAAAAATAGGCAGATGGATCTACAATTTCCTGACTAACAGAACTCAATGTGTAATAGTCAACAAAATAAAATCCAGCCCATCAACCGTAAAGTGTTCAGTCCCCCAGGGTACTGTGCTTGCTCCAGTACTTTTCTCATCCTCATATCGGACATAGACAAGGACACAATCTATAGCACTGTATCATCCTTTGCAGATGACACTAGGATTTTCATGAGAGTTGGCAACATAGAGGACACGACACACCTCCAGTCAGATGTAAATCAGTTACTTCTATGGGCAACAGAAAATAATATGGTGTTTAACGAAGATAAGTTCCAGCTCATGCGCTACGGAAAAAATGAAAATATAAAATGTACAAATTCATAAAGCAGTTAAATCATAACATAGAACGAAAAGGCAATGTAAAGGACCTGGGTGTACTCATGTCGGAAGACCTTACCTCTAAAGAACACAATAAAGTAGCCGTTACAACTGCAAGAAAAATGACAGGTTGGATAAGAAGAACCTTTCACACTAGAGATGCTATACCAATGATGATACTTTTCAAGACGCTAGTGTTATCTAGAGTGGAGTACTGCTGCACAATGACAGCCCCTTTCAAAGCTAGAGAAATTGCTGACCTGGAGAGTGTGCAGAGATCCTTTCCTGCTAGAATCCACTCAGTAAAACATCTTAACTACTGGGACCGACTAAAATGCTTAACTCTGTATTCTTTTGAGCGCAGGCGGGAGAGATACATAATAATTTACACGTGGAACATAGTAGAGGGGCTGGTCCCAAACCTGCACACAGAAATAACACCTCATGAGACCAGAAGGCATGGCAGGATGTGCAGAATACCCCCGTTGAAAAGCAGAGGTGCAATAGGTACCTTGAGAGAGAACTCTATCAACATCAGAGGCCCGAGACTGTTCAACACGCTTCCACTACACATAAGAGGCACAATTGGCCGACCCCGCACAGTGTTAAAGAGAGAGCTTGACAAACACCTCCAAAGGATACCTGATCAACCAGGCTGTGACTCATACGTCAGACTGCGAGCAGCCGCGTCCAACAGCCTGGTCGACGGCCGGGCCGCGGGGTCGCTAAGCCCCGAAATCATCTCGAGGTAACCTCAAGGCAAGGTAAGGAGATCTGTAAATATTTCATTCAAAATTATCTGATACCAGAAATTTTAGCCAAATATCCCCAGTTTGCTAACTGTAGGTAGTAACCGAGTGATTGTAACCTATACACCGCTGCCCACTGGATTGATGGCGGAAGGACGGGGGGGGGGGGGGGTGCAAGATAAACCTGAATTGTCGGAGGACGGGCTGGAATTGTCACACAAGGTCTCCACGTATATAAGTCACTTAATTTAGAAACTACTTGTGGTCGGTCTCGAGACCATTGTTCATGTGACGATGTGCATTGAATTTTGTATCTAGCTCATCAAGACTAACTTGCTTAGCTAAATGAATTTTGGGGTTTAGGGGCCAGATCCACGAAAGCACTTACGCAAGCACTAACGAACCTGTACATCTTTTCTCAATCTTTGGCGGTTTTGTTTACAATTATTAAACAGTTAATGAGCTCCGAAGCACCAGGAGGCTGTTTATAACAATAACAGTAGATTGGGAAGTTTTCATGCTTG